GACGATTCATTGGTCGCCCCATCAAGCGACCAACTAACCGCCCTTTGAAGCGACTGAACTATTGTTTTGACCAAGTGACCGGCCAATCGATCAGGCGATTAACAGGTCGCTTAATTAAGCGAATTAAGCGACCAACCAACAGACCTTTTCTTCGCTCGACCTTATCTTATCCGACCTCCGCTAAGACCCTGCTACCATTATCATTATTGTTATTATTTTTTGTACGTAACAATATTTATATTATTTTTTTCTCATTTTCTCTCGTTCTCTTTCTCTTTCGTAAAACTAAATCGGTCAATTTTTTTTCTTTTTTTTTTCCTAAAATATATTTATATTATTTTTTCTTTCAAGAAATTAAAAATGTAAAATATGCATCGCTAATGAACTTAGACAACATATTTATATAAAAAAAATTACAAAAAATATTTTACCATAAGCCGCGTTCAGACGAGTACTAGTGTGTATATATATATATATATATATATATATAAAAGAGATTAATAAGGAATTGTGAGAAATTTGGATACAAGCAAAGAAGAGTGTTTCATCCGTTGTCCTTGTCCAAAAATTATAAAATTTGGTACATATAGTTGTGGGATGTCGATTGGGTGATCGAAGAAAAATCTTTATTTTTTTTATTTTTTTATATTTTATTTTTTGAAACTACACAATTTTTACACATAAATGCTATTATCTCATAATTCTTTCACCACTTTTATTCGAAAATTAGATTCTGATTGACTGGAAATTTGAGAGAAATGACAGACAAAAAATTAGTGTGTTTGTTTCGGGGATTGGATTTAATTTCCACTGTTTATCTCATTTCCCCCCCCCCCCCCTCCCAAAACATCAAATCAAATGCCTATTTTTTATTTTTTATATCATACTAAATATCAATTTTACATTAAAAATATCACATCAACACCTATTTATATCACATCATACAACTATTTAAATTCAAAACTTTTAGTATTCTAATAGGTATGCATGAAATTCTTTAATAATTATTTTTATTTTAAATTTATTATAAATTATGAGTAGTTATTTTTAATCTAAGTTTAGATTGTGAAATTTTTGTAATATTTGATTTCTGATTCGTCGTAGTTAATATTCTATATTTGTGTTTGTTTTAGTTATTGTATATTGTATATTATTGATATTTTTTCAGACCTGAAACGACTTGTTAAGAATTTATTTTATTTCTTGGAGATAAGTATGAACTTCATTTAAATTTAAATTTATTTTTTTATTTAATTATGCATTATAAATAGTTATTTTTAATCTGATTTTAGCTTATTGAACAATTTTTATCCGTTTGACTAATAAAAAACTAATTTAAGTATTTGATAAATTAATTTTTTTGAAATAACTTATTGATCCTAAAAAAAAATAACTTATTGATCCTAAAAAACTAATTTTTGAAATGCCAATGTATTAGAATCACATGTTCCTTTAATTTCTTTTATTCTTTATTTGTTTTTATAGTAATTTATTCTTTTTACGTATTAATGTATTTTTCATTGAAGTATTTATTTATTGTTTTACTAAATTTTTGTTTAATAATTTATAAATGTACTTTTATAATTAAGTTAATTAAAATTATTATTTATTATATAAAATTATTTTATTGTTAAATTTTTAAATTTATTTAAATAAAGACAATAAAAATAAAAATATTATTAATTTATTTATATACACTATATATTTTTGTCACATACTTTTTTTATTCTTGATGAAAATATATTACAATAAATTATTTAAAATTATAAATTTAAATTGAAAAATAATTTAATTAATAATTAACTTAATAAAAATAAATATACAAATTATTTATTTTTAAAAATTTATAATATTTCTAATAAAAAATTCATATTTTTCAACAAAAATACATTAATTTTTTTAAAAAATATTTTTAAAAAAAACAAAATAAGTATTTTAATAAAATTTTCATAATTTTCAATAAGTAATAATAAAAATTCTAAAAACCATACACACAGAAAGAACGCAACTAATTATTTTAAATATGAAATAGAAAATGCTCTTTATTATCATTTTATATATAAACAACTAATATTAAATAACTATTTTACCAATTATTTTAACATAACCAATTAACATATTCAACTAGTCAAATCAACTAATCGAATTAACTAACAACTAAGAGCTAATTGAATAATCTAACAACTAATTGTCAAACACCACTTGATTTATAATTTCCATTATTTAATATTCTATGTTAGTTTTATTTTGCTTACTATATTTTTATTATATTGTTTGAATAAATATATATATGTTGTCGTAAAAAATCACCTCCAGTGGCTTAATCGGAAGTCTGCTAGAATCAATTTGTTTTTAAGGGTTCCCCGGCCTCCACAAGAAAAGGTCCAGGCTATCTCGTGATGATCGAAAAAATTAATGTAAAAAGAAAGCAAAATAAATAAGAAAGAAAATTGAAAATTAAATTGGAATTAATTGAAGAAAACTGTAAAAATTTGGAAAAATTAAATAGAAAATCATGCAGAGAAAAATTATGAAAAAATAAGAAGATTCATGATGAATAGCGTCCGTTTTTTGTTCTGCTCCTAATCTTGTTTATTTATTTTGGATCGCATTTGGATAAGATCTTATCCCTAATTATTCTCAACAACTCCAACAACTTTCACTTCCACCATTTTTCATCCGCTTCAAATGCATCAGGCCGGCTGGGTCATTGGGCTAGTCGGGTCCGCAGGCCCACTCGCTGGTCTAGACCTTCTATTGGGTCGCAAACCTCGAGAGTTTGGCTTGCACTTGTACTGGACCGGTCCAATTAATTTTGGGTGTATACAAATGTCCCCCGAAAAATCATTTGGACAACAATCAACTCGTGGTCCTGGTTTGTCAATTACCTGAATATTTACACACTTCCTCGGCCTGTCCAACCATTTTTTCTGCTTGTGGAAAGTCGTTGTTAACTATAGCCAGATCGTGTTTTCTTTCCTGCACCCAAAGAGAAGGATAGAACCTTTTAAGATATCCTTCATAGATAAACGTCTTCAACTCCTCCCCTTCGGGCTCCATCAATCTATATGCGTCGTTAGATAACTTGGCTGATATGATAAATAGCCCTTCCCATGTGGGGGACCACTTCCCGAGCTTCACATCTTTTGGGCCTTCCGGAAAGACGGCCTTCTAGATCATGTCATCTTCCTGGAAGGTTTGAGGCCTTACGCGCTTTCGAAAGGTCGATTTGGCATTCCTCTTTTGATACCGAATGCGTTCAAGAGCCTGTAGTCTCTTTTCGAGGAAGGTGTCTCACTCCTAAAGCAAGTTCTGGTTCTGCTCTCCCATCAACAGTTGTTTCATTTTCAAGATCCGGAGATAAGACATTGTAATCTCCAACATAAGTACAATGTCATGGCCGTAGGTCAGCCTGTAATAAGTGCTTCCAGTTACGGAGGATTTGACATTCCGATATGTTCATAAAGCCTCTTCCAAAGTATCATGCCAGCCCCTCGAGTTGTCCTCCAGCCCTATCTTGATAATGGAAATCAAGATTTTGTTCGTCGCCTCGGCTTGCCCATTAGCCTGAGGGTAGTATGGAGATCAATGGAGCAACTGGATTTTTAATTGAGCTGTAAAAGCCCTGACCTTCGCGCTCATAAACGCGGTCCCTTGGTCAGTGGTTATTGTCTTTGGAATGCCAAAAATGTGAATAATGTTATTCTTAATAAAGCATATGACATTATTATGTTGTACCTTGGCCAATGGAACGGCTCCCACCCATACTGTGAAGTAGTCCGTAGCTACGAGAATAAAAGAATGTCCATTGGAAGATGGAGGATGAATCTTGCCGATGATATCCATCGCCCACCCGCGGAAAGGCCAATGTTTGATAATCGAATGAAGTTCTTCTATGGGCACTTGTCGAAGTGGTCCATGGCACTGACACGCTCGATATCCTCAAGCATAATCCACATAATCCTACTAGATTCTTGGCCAAAAATAGCCGTAACGGAGGATTGTCCACTTCATAGCGGATCCAGTCCTTTGGGCACCTCCAATACCTTCATGAACCTTGGTCATGACCTTCATAGCATCCTCGATCCAAGCAACGTGATAAAGTCTCATCGGATTTCCGTCAATACAGCTCCCCATCGATTTGAGTGTATTTTAGAAGATGATGGCGCACTGCTTTTGAAGCAGCCTTCTCGGGGCCTGTTAGACCTTCGAGCAGCGTGGTTCGCAAATTTAGGTCTTGGTTAGCCTGTTAACATTCATATATTGGTTGTATTCATTTTCTTTTAAACCCGAAAGCCCATTGTGCCAAGTTGTTTGCCTCTAAATTCTCTTCCTAAGGTATGTCCTCCAACATTACCTCCGTGAGTTGCTGAAAAAGATTGTGGGTTTCTTGAAGAAGGTCTAGAAGTCGTGGTTCCTTGCACTTGAATTCTTTCAGGGCCTGTCAGATAACTAGCTGAGAATACCCTCGAATAACGACTTTCTTGACATTTCTTGCAACCAAGAATCGCAACGTCAATAGCAACGCCTCATTTCGGTTTGGTTATTCGTGATACCTTGCGGAAGTTGGTGGGTGAAGCGCCACACTTCTTCTTTTGGACTGAAGATCACCACGCCTACTCCGGCTGCTCCCGAGGTGCTGGACCCATCAAAAATCACCAACCAAGGTTCCAATCCCGAGTAGTCCAAGGAGATGGCCTGAACCATCCCAGGATGTTCGGCCAAGAAATCAGCGATGATAGGTCCTTCAATGGCCTTAAGGGGCTAGTACATTAATGCGAATGATACTAGTTTTAGAACCCATTTAATTAAACAGCCTCGGAGGATTGGTCTATTTAATAAATAGCATAAAAGGTCGACTCTGCATATTATTTCATCATCATCTTGGGCAAGAAGACAATCTGTTGTATCGTTGGTCGCGGCTATATACAGCTCCAGCCCATTTCCACCAATTGACGGTATTAACACCGGGGGAGATGACAATGCCTGCTTAATATGGTTCAAGGCTTCTTGCCAGGTTGGTTCTCACTCAAATATGTCTTTATTCCACGTAGCAGCATCGAGAAGGCCTTCATTTTTCCGGCGGCCTTGGCGATGAACCTCCTCAGAAAATTGACCTTCCCTATCAAGTTTTGCAGCTCCTTAATGTTGTGTGGGGGCCCAAGGTTCTTGATAGCCTTGGATATTTTTTTCAACTTCGATCCGCTTTTGATGGACCAAAAAACCTAAGAAAATCCCTACTTGTACTCCGAAAGCGCACGTTTCCGGGTTCATCTTGAAGTCGTGTTGTCTCATCCACAGAAAGGTCTTCCGAAGGTCTAGCAGGTAGTGATCGAATGCTCGGTTACAACCACGTCATCTATGTAAACCTCTATGCAAGCACTGATCAGGTCATGAAAAATTACATTAATTGTCCTCTGGTAGGTCGCTTCGGCATTCTTTAGGCCGAAGGGCATTACTATCCATTCGAAGATTTTTAATTGCTCCGGGGTAGTGGAAAGCTATTTTATGGGCATCATCCTCGGCCAAATATATTTGATTATAGCCAAATTAGCCCTCCATAAAAGAAAGTATCTTGTACCTGGCCGTAGAATCCACGAGCATGTTGGCAATCTGCATTACGTATTCGTCATTCGGTGTCGCTAAATTGAGATTCCGGAAGTCAAAGCACATACAGATCTTTCTGTTCTTCTTCACTACTGGAACAAATTTGGAAACCCACACCGGATACCTGGATGTTCGAATAAAGTTAGCTTTAAGGAGTTTTTCATCCTCTTCTTTCACTTTCGGAAATAATTCCACGTTAAAATGCCTAGGGGACTGTTTGTGCGGCTAAAATGAAGCTTTAGTAGGTAATTGATGCTCGACTAAGTTCCTTGATAACCCCGGCATCTCATAGTAATCCCATGCGAAACAATATTTGAATTCACGGATCAAAGCAATCATTCGCTCTTTCCTCTCGATATCCAGCAAGGCGCTGACCCGTGTCGTCCGAGGGGTTGCATCATCCCCCAGTTAATCTCCTTCAATGGGTCCTGCACTTCCAAAGGTTGAGCAGCTCTTCGAATCGGTGAATGAACATCCTCTTCGTCTTGATCATAATCAGGCGGCTCAGGGATGTCCCTGTCTGCCTGTCGGGCGGTTGAGCGGCATGAATGGACAACTGGACCTGTCTGCCATTGCCTCCAAATCCTGTACAATCAGGTCGTCAGTCATAATGACCACCTGTATTATTAGGTCGTACGTCAGCCTCCACTTTGATTTTGAAACCCTTTATGGGTAAATTGCATTCCGTCCACGTCCCAGCGTCCTCTAGCATCATGGACAACGGGTATACATCAGAGGAGTAATAAAAGGCTTCTGCAGGATGTATCTTCATGGCCGGATCGGCCTCGGCTTCCACCATTTCGACTTGATTTTCATTCCAAATCATAACCTTCTGGTGTAGGGTCGAAGGGACACATTGAGTAGTGTGGATCCAGTCCCTCATGAGAATGGCCGAATAGGTTGGTTTTCCTTCGATAACGAAGAAGGCCATCTGGTCCTATCTAGTTCCAACAGTCACCTTCGCCACTAAAATGCTTGCTGCGGTGTGTGCATTTCCAGTGAAGTCGGTTGTTCGTAGGGATGTTGGGACAAGATCATTTCTACTTTTGCCGATTTTTCCCAAGGTAGAAAAGGTCATGACGTTGACGGATGCTCCCCATCGACCAGGACTTTGCTGATCGTCTTTCCGTCGAGATGGATGGTGAGGAACAAGGGTTTCAGATGCCGCGTGTTCTCGTCGGTTAATTTTTGGAAAATCACTGGTTCTGGACCCCCTTTTGAAATGTTAACGTCTTGTTCTGCCTAACATAATGGACCAGCTCCTTCCAGCAGAACATCCCCCTGAAGATAGTTAGGCTCAGACGGAGGAGCTTCGAACTCTCGAGGTAGCACTCCTATTTTCCTAACCTTGAGATTGTCCTTATAAGGTTCGAGGTCTTGATCGCAACCGATAATGTCTAAGGTAGCCTCCGACGCTCCATCGCATGTTCTATCAATCCTTGGCTTGTCCTTAGGAATCTGGTCTTCCCTAAGCGTCACCATAAAGTGCGGTTCCTTAGGATATTCAACCCTCGCGAAAACTCCCTTCGGTCTCTATTCTTTTCGGGCCTGAAGACGGTGGCAAAGATCCTCTCGGCCAAGCTTCGGCCTTCCGGTGTTGGCCCCCTCCGAGTTCTGGGGCTGTTGCCTATCATCTCTATCTTCGTGGTAGAGAGCTTGCTGCCGCCCAGTCCGATGTTCTTGGAAGAGGCAAGCGGCTAGGCACTGTCGATGCGCCCTCTTTTTTTGGGTTCTACTGGGGGCTTGCGTCATTTGTCTCTTTCGATTCTTTGCCCAACTTCCGTCATTTCTAGCCTACCCCGGGAGTCGGGTCTGATGGGGTGTGATCATCACCTGATCTACGGAGGTTACTTGCCAAACCTCACCCCATTTTTTGAAACTCACCTCTGCGATCGTGTTTTTAGGAGAAAGTCTATCCCACACCGAGCTTTTACTCGGAGGTTTGATCGACCATTCAAGCCATTCAAACACTGGGTTTTTAGGGTCTTCCCTTCTATAATCTGTCCGAGAAATTGCGTTTGACCTTCCAAATCTAGTCGGGCGTACTCCGACGATGTTTATCGGCGCCTGGAACAACTCTGTATCCACTTTCATATCAGGTTTTTCGGCCAGCTTGAGGCGGCCTTCTTTGATGGCCTTCTAAACCGCATTTCAAAAAGCGATACAGTTACCAATCTGATGACCATATACTCCATGCCACTTACAAAACAATTTCCTATTCAGTTCATCTTTGGTCGGCATTTTGTGGCATTTCTTAAGGCGGACCTAATTGTCTTTTAGCAGATGTTCAAAAAACTGCTCCGTCTTTGCAATGTCAAAATAGTAAGATATCTTCGGGTTCGTGTCCTTCCATCGAGGCGGCTTAAGAGCTGGCATGTGTATGCCTTCCCCTGCGTTAAAACCGCCATGAAAGTCTCTTCTTGCTCTTTATCCACCTCGGCAGCCTCTTTTTGGGCGAAGACACAATGATTCTCACTCCGAAACTTTTAGTTTTGAACTGCCTGGGCCTCCCTCACGAGTTGTTCGGCCTTCACCACCTTGGACGTCAGCTGTCGGAAGTCATGGTACTCTTGGAGGGCTTGTTTATCCCGTAACTGATATGTCATGTTGTCGATAGCCATGTTCACCACTTGGTTTTCAGGTATACGAACCTGAAACTTAGTTTCCAATATCCTGAAGCGTTTCAAAAACTTCTTGACAGATTCATCACCACGCTGATGCAACTTAGTTAAGTCCGAGATGGTCACCTTTGGAAGAGGGCTATAAAAGCGCTTGTGGAAGGCTCTTTCCATGTCTGCCCAGGTGGGGATGGAATTCGGGGGTAGTGACGTATACCAAGAAAAAGCAGAACCTGTTAGGGACAAGAAGAAGAGTTGGAGTTTGTACCATTCATTATTCCCGTACTCTCCTCCACATTGAGCCGTAAATTGGCTAATATATTCAATGGTAGAGCGGGAATCCTCCCCCGAGAATAGTATGAACTCGGGGATTCGAGCGTTGCAAGAAGACGGGTGATCCAAAGAGATGTATCCTGGAAAAGGCCGTTGATAGTGAGGCTTGGCCGGTAAACGAATAGGATCACCGTAAATCCTCCATATTGTATCCTCGATCGCCTGAGGATTCAAGAATGGTAGTAGCAGTATTTCTGCCTGCCCCCTGGCTGCTCTGGAGCTGCTTGGATGGGCGGCGGATTGCGGACTGCGGGCTGTTGAGGGGCTTGAAAGATCGGTTCCCGTGGTGAGAAAAGAATTCTAGGGCCTTCCACGGTTTCTCTGACCGTCGGGGCCTGATGCATTGGAGGATTTCCAAGGGCTGCTTGGGCAGCAAATTCGAAATTCCGTTGTGTCCCGAAACCAATAGCAAAATGACCTTCCGTAGCGGCTGCCTGCCCCAGAGTGTACTGGGATGCAATCGGGGCAGTTCCTCCTGGTCCCCAGATTCCCCAGAAGGGGCTGGAGCGAATGAAGGTGCTGGAGTTACCGACGGCCCTGCCCCCCAAGGGTTGGCGGTCCCTTGTCCAGCCTTTGGGTGTCCTTAGAGGCCCGGACCAGGAGGCAGGGCGTTTAGGGAAACTCCAGTTGATGACGAGCTTGGATGCCAGTACGGAGGAGAGGGTACTGACCCAAAGGTCATGCCAAATCCTCATTTCTGAGACGGCCCAAGAAAAGCTTGCCTGGTTGTCGCATTATATTCTCCGAGCTTGTGGAAAGTGAATAGAGGTTCTCCAGATCCATTCTTGCTGAAAATCGTAACGTGACCGTAATTGAGCGCCTGAGAGTTCGGACCTGCCCCTATATTGGCTGAGAGGGTAGGGTTCGGCCAGACTTCTAGCAGATTAGAATTGATTATATAAGCCTTGCCCTTTCGAGTTTTCTCATCATGGAGCTACACGAATTCAGTTCGTATAGCGGGCTTGAGTATGCTAGTGATGTATTTGGACAATTCCAGGGCGGATTCATGGAAGAAAGACTGAATTTCTCCGTGAATTTGCTCCCGGAGCACGCTGGTTGGAAGGCTGACAATGGGATCAGCCCTCCCGGCCGCCGCGGAGGCTTCGTCTTGTGGGGCAGGCTCCTGCGCGGGGGTGCATGACGAATTTTCGACAGTTTCCTTGTTCTTTGACATCTCTATGGTTGTTGGCGGTGTTAGTTTTTTCTTTCGAAGTTGCATGCAAAAGTCGCGAGACGTTGGTGTCCCACCAGGCGTGCCAATCTGTTGTCATAAAAAATCACCTCCGGAGGCTTAATCGGAAGCCTGCTAGAATCGATTTGTTTCTAAGGATTCCCCTGCCTCCTCAAAGAAAGATCCGGGCTATCTCGTGATGATCGAAAAAATTAATGTAAAAAGGAAGCAGAATAAACAAGAAAGAAAGCTGAAAATTAAATTTGAATTAAATGAAGAAAATTGTAAAAATTTGGAAAAAATACAGCAGAGAAAAATTATGAAAAAAAAAAGAAGATTTATGATGAATGACGTTCGTTTTTTGTTCTGCTCCTGATCTTGTTTATTTATTTTGAATCACGTTTTGATAAAATCTTATCCCTAATTATTCTCAACTACTCCAACAACTTTCACTTCCATCATTTTTCATCCGTTGACTGCTTCAAATGCACCTGGTCGGGTGAGCCATTGGGCTTAGTCGGGTCCGCAGGCCACTCGCTGGTCTGGACCTCCTGTTGGGCCGCAAACCTCGAGAGTTTGGACTGCATTTGTACTGGACTGATCCAATTAATTTTGGATGTGTACAATAAATATATATATATATATTCATTGCAAGCAGACAACAACGTAAGAGAAACAATAACAAGATTATTAAAGAATAGATAAACAGTTTTTCTAGTCTTATAACTAGATCTCTTTTATCATTTCAATTTTCTAAAGTGCAGACTGTCTTAAAATAATCATGTAAGTAGAAAATTTTCGCACATTTAATCATCGATGCCTATGTGGCACTTGCGTGGTATTCCGGCGGACACATGAGGTGAGTGCCAAGCCGTGAAGTGGATAATATTTTTTGTTTTTATTTTATTTTAATATATAAAATTATAAAATATAAAATATACAAAATCAAAAATCAAAATCAAAATTAAAAAGAAATAAGTAAAAAATAAAAATTATTCACATATATCCGTCAAGACAGTGCCACATGGTCTTTAATAATTTATATATTATATATATTTTTTATTTTTATATTTTTATATTTTATTTTTTAATTTATTTTAAAAAATAAAAATTATTTATGTATCGGCCACGTGGCACTGTCTGGCGGACACATGGATAATTTTTATTTTTAATTTTATTTTTTATATTTTTAATTTATTTTTTTTCTATTTTTAAATTTTTATATTTTAAAATAAAATAAAAATAAAAGATTTTCATATGGTGGACACGTGTCCGACATATGGAGTTGAACTGGCCGACATATATTCGCCGGCATGCCACGCAGATGCCATATAAACATTGAAGACTAAATGTGCGAAGATTTTTCACTTACGAGACTATTTTAAACTAACCTCCAGTTACCGGATTAAAAAATGATAACAAGTACAATTACTTTAACTGAAAAAATCGATTTACCTTAAAGAATTTATCTTTCTTCATAGGTGTGATTTTTTCTTTCAAAATTATTTTAATTGTAAAATTTATATGAATTATTAGTAGTTTTAATCAACTTAAATATGGATTTAAATGGAATATAAATTTTGTAAAATTTTATTTATAATTGCAGATAAACAGATGAAAGAAATAACAATAAGAATATAAAAAAATTATAATTAGATTTTGTTTTGTTACTATACTTTTTATTTTGTATATTACGTGTACTTTTATCAGGTTTCAGACACAAAGAGAAAAATGACTATAAAAATGCAGAAAGAGCAACAATATATTTTTCTATTTTTGCTTGACCCATGCAGTAATTTATCTCTAATC